ATACAATAACATATAAAGCAACTACTGGGCCTTGCCCACTGCATCGAACCAAAGTCCGAAAACTGCATCGGACCGAAGTCTGGAACTAACCAGGGCCTTGCCCTCTGCATCGGACCGTAGTCCGGAAACTGCATCGGGCCAAAGTCTGGAACTAACAATGGCCTTACCCTCTGCATCGGACCGAAGTGCGAAAACTGCATCGGACCGAAGTCCGGAACTAACCAGGGCCTTGCCCTCTGCATCGGACCGAAGTCCGGAACTAACTGAACATAACATAGCATAATCATAACTACTAGCATAAACACATATACTGCATACTGCATCGGACCGAAGTCCGGAACACATAACACAAAGACATGCTTGAATCACAAAGACATCAAGCACACTGAACTACTGCATCGGACCGAAGTCCAGAACTACTGCTAACTAAACGGGCCGGCATTGTGGCAGTAGACCCGTTCCTACTGGAAGGAAACTCTCATCGTAACGCTGGCTGCTGAGATGCTAAATCTGAAACTGTCTGACTGCTGCTCCGGAACTCCCCGGCTACAAATCCCATAAACACTAAATCAAATACTGATAACTAATCTTAGGGTAAAATGACTATTTTACCCCTGGTCAAAGTCAACTTTCAGTTGACCGGACTCGCCGAGTTGGGCCGCCAACTCGCCGAGTCCCTATCATCCTTTCTAATCCTCTACCCGCTGCTACTCGTCGAGTTTGGCAAAGACTCGACGAGTTCTTCTTCGATACTAACATCGAGTCTAACTTCATCCGACTCGCCGAGTTGTATGAACAACTCGTCGAGTTCTCCTTCATCATATGAACACGTCCAGTCTGTGACTCGCCGAGTTGTATGAACAACTCGTCGAGTCTGTTCCTGAGGCAAGAAGATTGCCTTGGACTCGCCGAGTCATGGCGTAGACTCGCCGAGTCCCTCCATCTCTAATTATGCTTCCTAACTCACCGAGTCTAATCTTCATTCACTCGTCCAACTCGTAACACTAAAAGGGGGAAATAATTGGGGATTACGAACCGACTCGTCGAGTCCTAAGGACGACTCGTCGAGTCTCATGCATGCCATTACTATACAGTCAATTCTAGTCGATTTCAGTGCATCCAATTCATAGATCTGGGCTTCTAGGGCTGGTTTTACACGTAAAGTTTCCAACTTTACATGCATGCACAAGAGAATGGGGCTTAAACACCAAAATCATCCAACAATAAGCACTTAGGGTTTGGAACAAGGCTATATTTGCATAAAGGTAGCTACATTGAGCTCCTAGAGCTCAATAACATCCAGGTCTATGGTTTCCATATAAAGTATGAATCATATAAAGTTCCAAGAGAAACATAAACAAGCATAAAAGAGGGTTTAATGGAAGAATAAGCAAGGTGATAACTTTATTACCAGAATATGTAGCAAATGGAAGCTAGATTATGGATCTCCTTTCTATTCTATTGGTCTTCTTTCCTTCCTTCTCTTCTACAACTTCCAAGCTAGCAAAAACACTCAAGCTTAGGGGTGTTCATTTGGATGGATCGGTTTGATCCGATCCAATCAAGTAAATCCTAATTGATTTCGGTTTTCAAAATATGGATCCGAATAGTCCAAACCAAAATTCATATCCGATCCGATCCGATCTAATTACAATTCGGTTGGATCAGTTTTTATAATTCGGTTTTCAAAAACCGAAACATTTTAAAACGAGATATAATTATAATATTAGATAAGCAACAAAAACGAATTATTTAGTTGTGATTTGAAATTTATAAACAACTAATAAGAATATATATTATAGTTAAATATTTTATAGGTAGAAAACGTTTGATAGAAAATGAATATTAATGTTTTTTTTATCGGGTGAAACGTTTTGAACTTATTTGAAAAAATAAATTACAAAATTAATAAATAACTATAGATATATATTATAAATAGATAAATAATAAATGTTTATTAGGTTTTTTTGGACTATTCGGTTCTTATTTTATAAACCAAAACCAATCCGAAATCCAAAATAATAATTCGGTTTTATTGAAAACCAATCCAAAAATCCGAATACCCGAACCAAATAGTTCAATCCAAATTGTCCAATTGGATAATTCGGTTTTATCCGAATAGTGAACAACCCTACTCAAGCTCAACAATGGGGACTAGGGTTTACAGAGAAATGCTCTAGAGGTGCTGGAGGTTGGAATGGGAGGCTATAATGACGTTTAAATAGGGTACAAATCCTGGGATTTAGGGTTTCATCCAGACTAGCGGACTCGCCGAATCCGGAATATGGACTCGTCGAGTCGCCCGCTAAAAACGCGTGCAAATCCCGTCTCTACTCGACGAGTCGGGCTACTGACTCGTCGAGTACCTCTTAAGAAAGGAAAATACTATATTTAAATTACATACCAGAAATGGGGCGTTACACCCAGGTATAATTTATTATAAGTATTATATATATATATATATATTATATATATATATTATGGAATTTATTGGCCACGACATGGGAAAGGTGTCACCACGACGTGATGTGGCCAAGAAGGTTCACAAATCACTTTTGTGCACCATAATTTGGCAAGCATGAGGCCACGACGTGGCGACCATCTGAAGGCAAACCCTGATTTTTTGGGCCTTAGACCTTATTTAAAGGAAGTGATGGCTAAGGTTTCCTCCACGCTCAGCCTCCATCGCCTCTAAACAACCATTTGGCCAGCCCTTTTGAAGAATTTGAACTCATTTTGCAAGATTTTGTTGGTTTTGAAGGAAAAAGAATAAGTTTTGGTGGTTAGTTTCTCCAATAAATCCCTCATCATCCTTGTGTGCAACTTCTGGACTTTTTGTAAGTCCTCAAACTCTCACCTTTTTGTTGTATGCTTCTTGGATCTAGATTTTATGCCACATTTTTCCTTATTTGTTAAGATGGAATTAGTAGAAGAGATAATGTTTGCAACTTTATGATTTCTCTGAGTCCCAAGAGTGTTATATCTTATAGATCTAGGATATGGTTGTGGTTTGGGGACTTTGCATGAATTTTAGGTCATATTTCATCTTTTGACCTAGATTTGGGAAAGGACATGCATGTCCATAAAGTTTACATTTTTATGGATCATTAGGGTCCTTAAAACCCTTCTAGAAGTTTTGGTACGAAGACTTTATGGATTAAGTCCTTATTGAGTGACTCCATGGCTTAAGTGTCATTAAGGACCTAAGATTTGAGATCTTGGCTTATCTGGATGTCTTAATGGATAAAGTTGGAAACTTTATCCATCAAGACATTGGAAAAGGATCAGTTATGAGCTTTGGAGCTCATGAAATGGATAGAAAACAACTTAATCCATTAAGTTGTTGAGTCGTGATTCCCACGACGTGGCAACTGAGGGTCAGGTCGACTATTTTGTCTTATTCTACCATGACGTGGCCAGTAGAAGGCCATGTGGTGGCAATGCTCTGTGGGTGACTTGGACAGTTGACCTTGACTGTTGACTTGTTAACCTGGGTTGACTTTTGGCTAATTGATAGTTCTAGAGTATAGACTAAGGTTGGACATTGTTTGACTCGATAGGTGTGTTGTAACACCGACTACGTGGCATTAAGTTGTGTTTTAGCTGACTTCGTGAGACAGGTGAGTCTTCTTACTATACTGTGCAGGATGTTAGGTGTCTTTGTGACTCTTGTATTGGTATATTGGACTGGGCTCATTTGTGTATTGGGCTTGACCCATTTGTATGTTGGGTTGGGCCCGTTTGTATGTTGGGTTGGACTCGTTGTATGATATGTGGTATTTTGGGGAACTCATTAAGCATTGTACTTACGTTTTATGGTTTAACATTTTCAGGTACTTCCAGTTCTAAAGGGAAGCGGCTGACTTGATTGCATTACATTCCCCTATGATTTTCCACAAAGATGACTATTCTTTTACTCTGATATTGAGATATATTTTATCATAATTGGTTTTTGGAACACTTGATGTATGAATTGGATGATTTAAAAATGAAAATTTTTATCAGTATTTTTAGAACGTTATAATAATTTTAATAGAAAACAGTTAGATATCCATGAATATGTATGAAGAGTATATGTAAATAATGGTGTATTTGTAAATGGAAGTTGTGACGTCACTTGGAATTAGGTTGGAAACCATAATAATAGTGAAATGCTTTCAACAACCTTATATATATTTTTTTGTTATAAACTCATTCTATTGGTTAACATTTTTAAAAAGCCTATTATAAAAAATAAATAATTTATCTTATATTAAGTTTTCTCATTTGTTATCTAATTATCCTTATGATTTTCCAGTTTTTAATTCTATCATATGTTTTTATGAAATAACATTTGATATTAATATTTTAATAAATAAAAGCACGGGCTAATAATATGTTACGATAATGTTTTTTTAATTTTTCGTATATGTATTATTTTGAAATTTTTTAAAAATTATTTTTTTATGATATAAGTTTATATAAAATATATTCATATTTATTTTGAATTTTGAATTAAATAGATTAAGTAAAAAAATAAAAAGTAATTAATAATATAATGTAACAAAAATTGTTATGAAATATTTGATCTAGACGAAACATATATAATTAAAAAATTAGAAATTATTAAACTCTTTAAGAGCAATTCCAACCATAAAACATTAAATTTGTGATTGTTTAACATTAAAATGGTGTTTGATTCCAACCAAACATTAAAGTTATGGATTTTAGAGGCCATATAGTTTGACTCCCAAACATTAAAATGTTGTCTTTTAAGGTTGATTGGAATAAGAACATCATTTTATTGGCCTCTATAATTGTGTTTTAGTGGTTGGTTTGAGTTGGTTTTAGTGATTAGTGAACACAACTCTATAAAAATAAATAAGTAAAAAAGGAAAAAAAAAAAAACGTTTTTTCATGTAAAACTTTTGAAAAAAAAATCGAGTCATCGATGTCAAAATGGATTTGTGGTGGTCAATAAAATAGGCTCCTTGTCTTTATCTTCAGCTATAATTTCAAATTTTGAAACATATCTCAGAGCCCAGCCTAACCGTTGAAAACCTAGGGTTTGCAATTTCAAATTTCTCAACCATGGCGGACATTGTTGATCCCAGAAACATGGTTATGGATCCAGAGACGGAGTTCCTAGCTTCTAAACAAGAAACTGGTAACGAATGGGAACTCTTCAAAGAGAACGTCAGACCATTGAAGAGAGGACGCAACGTAAAACTCCTCAATGATTCCCTCAAATCCAATTCGGATCTTCAAATCAGAAACTCTCTCATTGACAATCGAAGGTCGCAATCTTTCTTTATTATTTAGCATTTCATATTGTATTTACATGAGCAGAGTATAAGATCGAAGAAACTCCAATTGATTCCTTTGAAGACGAAACTGGTATAAGATAACTAAATGAACGAACGAAAAGAAATACACATCCCGATTAGATTGGAGAAAAAAATCTTCATTCGTTTTGCCTTCAACTATTTATTGATTGTCTTATTATTGTTTTTAACTTCTATCAGAAAGCTGATTAAAGCCATTGATGAGTATGAAGGTGAAGATCCTCTACAACCATGGATTGAGTAAGTTCTGATAAATCTGGACACATTTACACTTGCAACTTTTGTTGTGATGTGGAATTTGCCTAATTAAGTCCGAAATGAGTATTAATTATAACCTTTCAATTACGTTGTATAGTTGTATCAAGTGGGTACAAGATGCTTTTCCTCCAGGTGGAGACTGCTCAGGATTGGTTGTTATCCTTGAACAATGTGTGCGAACCTTTTGGCATGAAGAACAATATAAGAACGATCTTCGTTATCTTAAAGTGTGGTTGGAGTATGTAAGTTCTTATCACTATCACTGTAAAACGCTCAGGATTGGTGGTTATCCTTAAATCTTGACATTTGTTTGGTTTAATAACTAAGCTGCTATGCATTTGCAGGCTGGATATTGTGATGATGCCGAAGTTGTTTATAGTTTCCTTGATACAAATAAAATTGGCGAGATACATTCTATCTTTTACATATCATATGCTACCCACATGGAGTCAAAGAATAAGATCAAAACTGCAAATGACATATACGAGTGTGGGATTGCAAGGTATGCCTGTTATCTTTACACATTCCATCTTATCATATGTTTGTTTCTTTCTTCATATATCTTACTTTACTATAGGAATGCTGAACCGATTGAGAAGCTAAAGTCAGCTTACAAGAAGTTTTTTGTTCGTTCAATGAGTAGACCAAAAGCCATTGAAGTATGTTCTTTAATTTTACTTGTTTGTTGAAGTGTGATATGATATGTTTGTATTGATGTTAAAGATCCAAAATCGTTAGGAGGAATCAATGGACACTCGTCAACCTACCAGAAGCTTTGGAACCATCTTGGCTCGAGCAGACAGTGGTGAGAATTTCTTAATATATGCGAAAAAATCTTTTTCTTTCTATTACTAATATACTACTTTTAAAACTGCTAGGAAATCGCCCTCTGGAAAGTTCTGAAATAGCTAGAAAAAGACAAAAACAAGAAGGGTGAGCAAATGACATAACATGTTTTGATTATTTCAAACCAGTTAGCATATACATTGTGATAAAAAAACTTTTTGATAGGGCTGCTGCATCATTCAAGGTTTATAAAGAGACAACGGGTAGGAGCTCAATGCAGCAGCAATCGGATTCATCAAAGCCGGAGTTGAGAAACTGGAATACTCTTGGAGGAAGAGCTGATAGAAATAAAGAGAATAATGCGATTCCTGCCAAGTGGACATCACATAAGGTATTATTAATTTATTATTCTCTTTATTTCAATTGTCATATTTCCTTCAAATTGAATTATATTTCCTTCAAATTTCAGATTCCACAGAGACCTGTTGCTAGAACTGCTGCCCCTGCCCCTGCCCCTGCCCCTGCCCCTGCCCTGCCTTGTATTGAAGTTTTTGTGGATGAAGAATGCTTAGGGTCAGTAATTATTAATTATTTTCTCTTTATCCTATTGCTACTTAATCAATTATTAAAGAATTACCAAAAATCACTCTAGGACTTTTATGGTGTATATATTTTGAAATTTGAACCAAAAGACAAGTAAGATAAGATGCTGTGACAAGTTATTAGTTTTTTGATATATATATATATATATATATATATATATATATATATATATATATATATATATATATATATATATATATATATATATATCATAAATCATTTTGTCTTTTTATCGATTTTCAGACCTCAAAATGTGAGAAATGAAGGTGGAGGCGCTTCTGCACTGCAGCTCAGGGACAAGGATGGTAAAGACCTCAAAAAGTAAGTAATGCAAATTGACATTATTAACCCTCATAACAAATATTATCATTTTCACTGGTTTTGGTTATGATGGACAAGATTTATTGAATACTTGTTTTGTTATGTTGAAACAGGGAAACAGAGATATTGAGGGAAAACCCGTTATGCCATTTTCCCCCAAGCAGTATGAGATGATGATTTGTCGGATTATAATATAAACTGATGTTTGAAAATCTCTTAATGGGTAGACTTTTTGTCTATGAAGCTTGATTACTTACTGTTGGTTTAATCATGGAAAAAAGAGTTGTAATGTGGTTTCATATTGTAAAAGGTTTGTAAGACATTGCTCAATCATTTGTTGAGATAGTGTACGTTTATGCTTATCTCATTTTTAAATCATTTGAGAGACATGAGGTCTCATTTGACTATATATATATATATATATATATATATATATATATATATATATATATATATATATATATATAGAGAGAGAGAGAGAGAGAGAGAGAGAGGGAGGTGTGGATGACCATCTATTGTGTGGATGTAGGAACCAATCACAATTTAAATAAAAAGAAATCATTAATTAACCCATAAAGGGTACTTTAGTCATTATACACACAATTGATTTATTTCCAAATTTATAATCCCTACAATAATGGACCAGTTTCCTTAAATCCCTCCAACATCTCAAATATCCCTACCTTGTGTGCGTCATCAAATCTATTCCACTATCGTCTAAGAAATTTCACATCACCAGATTAACAGCACCACCATCACCATTATGTAGCATAAAACCGACCCCTTTAACCATACCACGCCTCCCGGAAAACCTTCGTCGATCTCGTTTTCACCATCTTCGGGACCATACACAAAGTCACCATCGATTCAGCCTTATCAGAAATCACCATTGTCGGTCCCCCACATGACCTCGCTACAGAAGTGTCGTTGAGCCAACAATGTTGAACCATAAGATATTCGTTGAACAACAAGACCACAGGTTCGATTTGGTGTTTATGTGATTCTTTTTAATTTACATTTTCTGTCTTTGGTTCTTAGTTAATCCATATACGTTGACAGATGCTACTCTAATTTGTATTTGTGTTTTGGTTTTGTTAAAAATAATGGATATAAATAACACACACTAAAATGCACTCTATGTGTTTGTGTTTATGTATGAGAGAAGAGCGAATGACAACTAAGGCTAATGACCAATAATTGTGTGAATTACAATACCAGGAAGAGTGAAGCAATGTGGTTAAGAAGTGGGACGATCCTTTGCAATTTTCTTAAGAAACTTTTAGGGAAATTACTTTTTAATATCCCTTTAAATTAGGGAAATTAGTTTCATAACCCTACACATACCGACCCTACCAGTTTCATCACTCAAATACGCCGGAAAGAATGGTGCAAAACGACGATCATATTATATTCTAGTGAAAGAAGAAAGGCCAATATACGTTGGTTCCATGGTCGATTCTCATTTATCCTCTCGTTGTACAAGTCAACAAGGTATGACCATTTTATGTTTTTCGTTTTACCCAACCTGTTCAAGTTTGTCCTTTTCATATTTTAACTTGATATAAAATTTTCTTTTAATTTACTTATCAAAACACAATCAACCGTATGTACAAACATCAAATCTCCAAGTAATCTGCCAATAAAGTAGTTCTTTTTTTTTCTTTAAATCCAAAACACTATATATTATCGCAACCCTTGTTTCTTCCTATTCTGTCAAGAGATACATTTTAAAAAATATAAATCTATTATTAATAAATATGTACTATTTTAATGCATTTTTTACGTCTCAATGATATACATTATTAAAGAATAAAAAGGTATTTTCTATGAATACACACAAATTTAATAATGCTTGAGCTTTTGGTAAAAGAGTTTATAGCCGAAGGATTCTAATCAAAAATAAAAAAAAAATCTTGATTTTTTTAATAACGGATGCTAGATGTAGTGTTCTTTAGAATTTGGTTTACTTTTCTTATTTACATCTTGTAAGTTACTGTCTTTTGACCTTTGATTAGAATTTTAAGCTTAAAAAGAAAGAAATCTAATAGAATGTGCCTGTATTTTTTATAATAATGTGAAATGTAATTGTTTTATCAGAAACTTATTCTTTAAGAATACAAGAAAAATGATTTCTGAGCGGCTGTGTATTGGAAGTGGCAGAATGACACCACCGTAAGGTTCTTACAAATCGAAATAATGTTTCAATTTGGACATAATACTATTTTTCTTATCCGATTATGTTATTCAATCTCTTTAATTCTCAATCCATTCTGACATAATACTATTTTTCTAGGAAATTTAAATACATAATATAGTGTATTCTGTAAGAATACATTACGTTTTATATAGTGTATTATGTTAGAATACACTCTGTTAGAATTTAAAATGGTAATTTCACTTTTGTTTTTAATGATTCTTTAAGAATGTTTGTTAAAATTATTATAATATGTATATTGGTTACACAATAGTAATGGGTAATTGTATGATGTTATTTTGGTTTAGTCAAATGGTTCTTCTTAACTGATAGTACTAACGAGTAATGTATTCTGATACAATTTTTTAAGAATAATATTGTCGTATTTTGATAGAATTTTAATTAATTATTTATATGTTTAATGAGCAGTTTTTACACATGTATCACTGCAAAATATTTGGCAATGCATATGTGATATGAATGACTTGAAGACCTGATAAAAATGGCTTGAAAATGAATCAATAAATGATCACACTAACGGTTTAAGAACGTTGTTATTTTTTTAAGAATTACACTTGTTATTCTTTTAGAATATTGTTATTATTCTAATGTTGTTATTAATCAACAATCATACAATGTAATTATTTAATATATTTTTAGTTTAAGAATCGATTTTATGTGTTCTTTTATAATGTACTTATTCATGTTTTATTCTTATTTATGTTTTCTTAAAAAATATCATAAACTATAATTCTAATAGAATATCATTCTGACAGAATAAAACAAGTTATAATCGGTTATGATTAAAAATTAAATTAAATTAGAAATTGAATTAATTAAAAAAAATATCAAAATTATCCCTTAAATTACGAAATTTCCTTTTTTAGATATAGTTTAATTGACTAAAATATTTTTCTCATTAATTTTGAGTGATAATATGGTACATGTTAGTCCATTGTAACATCATGGACCCTCAAATAATAGTGTTTCATTATTTTCATCCATTGGTTTAAAAGTATCCTACGATCACACAATAGATGTCATCCACATTATAACCTAACCATATATATATATATATATATATATATTATATATATATTATATATATATATATATATATATATATATATATATATATATATAGGAGTGAGATCATATGAGAACACCTAAAAAGTTGAAACGCGAGAATGGATCTGGACCATCTAAATATTCAGATCTGAGGCTATTATCAAACGGGTCATTTGTGTAAAATGTAGAAACAACCGGTATTAAAGTGTAACTTATAAAAGGTCATAAGGCTATAATGGTAATTGCAACTTTAACTCATTCCTATAATTTCTCAGTCTCTCTCATAATGTCGTTCAAATTACGTCCCCCCTCTCCACCTCTCTTTCTCTCTATACCTAGGGTTCGATCAATAATCCGCCTCATCGTCTGCATTCCACGATTTCTTCTTCTCACAACCTCCGTCCATCGCACCATCATGTGTCACAACCCTAATAAGACCATCGCAAGTCGCCCACTCAAGGGTTTATGGTTTTATCGGCTTTTCTGGTCGTGCATCGATTTTGCTCTAGCCACCGATTACATACCATGATCTCTTCCTCCCTCAGCTATCGTTTTTCGCAGTCCTATTCGGACCATCGCACCATGGTGGTGTGTGTATCACCCCAACCCATTTAATCACAGTGATAGAAAGTTCCTTTCTCGCTAATGGCAATCTGAAAAGAATTGAGGAACTAGGGTTTTTTGTGACTCGTCATTCGTCAAACTTTTCCCACACCTAAGGTTCGCCGACTATCAGACCTATTCCGTCGTCCTTCTCGTCACCGGTATGCACACATCCTATTTTCTTCATTTTTAATTCTATAAATTTGGAAGGCCCACCTGACTTTGCATCATTGATTTTAGTTAACATCTGTTTTTTTACAATATTGTAGGATTGATTACTAAGCTAATCGACTGTGTATTTTGAATTGATGCATTTGTTTTGGGTGTTGTGAATTAAGAAAAGAGGAATCAACATGTTTGCCTTTTGGTTCTTCTATTGGTTCTCAGTTTATAACATTAGGTAGATGTTCATAAAAAACCAAACATCTCTTTTCTTGTATTAACTTTATTTTGATGCATTTTATTCATTTTTTTTCTTTTATCTACAATTGATCTCTTTTTTTGAAATATTATTAGTAAAATTTGGTTTTGCAATTATTGTTAGTGTTTGTTTTTCTTTTACTAATCATAGATTTAGTTCTATGATAGGGAATATGGTTATATAATCATAGATGATTAAAACATGAATTAGAATTTGGAATAATGTGTGGCAAATTAACAAGTGATTTACTTATAATCTTATTTACCAACGATTAAAATGACGGAAAATACAATAGGTTTGGTTTTGCATTTGTATTTGATTATAATCATTTTCGTTTGGGTATTAATTTGTTGTTTTTTGGCTTATTAACTATGTAACAGGACGAACGAAGTGCAACGAATGTGACGAATTTTCATGGGTTAGATGGGCACTTGGGATCTCTATTTTCATATTTCTTGTTGCGATTTTTTTTCTCTGGAGTGTGTTTATCATTTGTGAAGATAATTGTTATATATATATACAGTCATGTACGAAGTATTTTAATCATTTATGAATATAATTGTTATATATATATATATATATATATATATATATATATATTATATATATATATATATATATATTCATTTATGAAGTGTTTCATTATTTATGAATATAACATTAGTACTTTATTCACTACATTGTTCGTTGTTTTCCGAATATAATTGAAGTGTTTTAATATTTTACAGTTACAATTATATTTGATTTTTTATTTTCATATTTTGTTTTATTCATTTATGATTACAATTGTATTCATAAACAGCAATATATATTTTATTCATGTTTGAATATAACTGTAAAAAATATGATTAAAGAAAACTAATTCAATAAATTGGTAAATTTATATTGTGTATTATTCACTTCTAAATGAGATTTTGTATGAATCAGTTGAAAAAAGGTTGTTTTTTTATATAAAAAAATAGTTAGATAAAAAAAGTATGAATATTCAAAAGCCTCGTTTTAAAAAAAGAAATCTGATAAAAAAAATATTTTTATTAACGAAAAAAGAAAAAAAAATGATTAATTCACTTTTTAGGTAGTTACTTTAATTATCGCCAGATTTAAGGAAATCATAATTTAATATTAATATGTTAAAATTTAATTTAAATGAAAAATGTCTAATTTACCTTATAGAATGATTGTCACAGAAGTGTTTTCGCGTTCTCAACCTTTTAGATGTTCTCATTTGATTATTTCCATATATATATATATATATATATATATATATATATATATATATATATTAATCACTTTTAGAAATGTATTATTAGAATATAAGACTTTTAGCATTTTATGTAAGCCGTAGAAAATTTAGTAAATAAAAATGTAATAAATATTTGACAAATTTAACAAATAAGGTTAATTGCAAAAATAATGAAACATTTTGTTATTATTTTAAATATTTATAAAAATTTGAATAAAATGATAAAAGATGCTAAGAGGTCAATTAAATGGTTAAACTATATACGGTATGAATTGATAAATTGATATAAGCGTAATATATTTAACAAGTTATAATAAGGAAGCACACAAAACAATATTTCAATATTTTAGAGCATCGGGCTTAGAATTTTTAATATTTTAGTGTTGAAGAGCAACGCATGCTTTGAATTTTTGTTGTTATCTCTATTGATGGTCTAGGCCAACATATGTCGTTTTCGGAACATTATATTATCCTTAGGTATCACCTCATGACGTCATTATTTCCGGTTGATGGAATATGTCAAGTTTGTCGTAAGGTATGTTTAAACTTATTTTTGGAGCATGCAATAAATTGTACATAGCTCCACGTTTTAAGTACCATGACATGATTAAGGACTTTCTTTTTGATGTATTTTGGTGTGGTGGAGTTTCCGCTAATAAAGAAGTACCCGTGAACTTCGTGACTAGTGTAAGAATTGGGATATAGAAAAAGCTTGGAAATTCTGAGAATTGTGGTTTTCACTTTCAGATTAAAGTATTTGGGTGGTACTCCCAATCTTTAATCGGATAAGACTCAGAATTGAGAGACAACAGAAAAGAGAATGTTTTGATGTTATGAAGAAGAACTGTACCAACCACAGATCCGTATATGATTATATAACAGAAAAAACTTCTTGTCTTAAAACTGCCACATGACAGTTTTATGTCCTAAAACTGTCCACAAACGGTCATAAACAACCTTAAATCCGGGTCTAGAATATGGATCACAAAACCGGGTACATTTATAAAAAATCCGGATTTATGAGGGGCTCTGCCCCTTGGACCCCGCTCCCAGGGGCGCTGCCCCCGGACCCCCATCGGTTTAGGGGCTTCACCCCTAAATAACAGTATACTTTCAACAAAGATAAAATTAAACAAACGTGCACTCCACACCATACCGATTTGTTTAATAATTGTCAAAGTGACATTGATCAACAAATTAACCCATTACATTTAAATAACATTAGTGATATAAAATCATCAACAACTAGCCCTTTGGAGGAAAGATCTAAAAGGGTTTCATGACTTGTGGGCTTGAAGAATGTATGTTTCCCTGTAGGACAAACAATCTTAAACCTGTCTTGTATAAAGTTGTAAAATACGAAAAAGCGTATATAGATAATAACATGTATTTATACAATTTGCTTTTGATACTTTTGGTTTTCCTAACATTGAAAATGATGAAGATCTTCAATCAAGTCTAGCATTCATATACTGTAATGTTATGACAAAAAAAACCCATGTACAAATTTAATAAAAGAAAAGTTTTGCAATCTAAAGAAAACATAATAAATAAATAAAAAACTAACAAACATTACCCTATTTTGTAATTGTAACGGGCTTTCAAAACTCAAAACCCTTGCAAATGCATGATGAAATGGTGAATTCTGATTGGATGAGTGACACGCGGTTTCCTTCGTCAATAAGATTGAAACGGAAAATCCCTAATTCCCAAATATTGATTTCCTGGAACCTTCCGCCCCTTGTTCCATATACATAACCTCCCTCACAAATCTTCTTCAAAAAACAACCCTTCTCCATGTAAATCTTTCTATGGAAGAGCAAATCGATTGGGACAACCTCTTTGACTTTGATGCCAGTTTCTCCGATCCCTCCCCTAACCCTATCCTTCCAATTTCATCACCAAATCACGCCAACAGCCAGTCTCCTTTGTCTGTCGATGATATCGAACAGTTGCTTTTAAACGATGACGACGAAATTCACAACGCTGATGCGTTGAACTCGGTTCAGGATGCGGTCGATGTGTTCTTCCATGATATTTTGCTTGATTCGCCTTTAGACGTCGAAAAGTCCGGTGAAGTTGTCGATATTTCTGATGGAGATAATTCGGTGGAGGATCAGAACAACGAAGCTATCGTTGATCACAAAGAAGAAAAGGAGAATTCCGATGATGATCCCAATGATCCCCTCGACAAGAAGCGTAAAAGGTATTTATGATTAACTAGTCTTTCGTATTTTGTTTTGGTTTTAAAAAACGTTGAAGGAAGTATCTTCCTAGATCTAGCTTAAATTGTAAGTTTTCATGCTTGATTTCGAATTTCGATCATGATCTGTATGCTATTACCAATATCTCGGCAAATTACATATTTAGCAATATTCGAAGTTACCATTTGTCATCTCAATTTAAGTATTGCTTCAATTCATCATCATAGTTGACTTCGATTAAGCAACAAATGACTGTTTCAGGCAACTGAGGAACAAAGATGCAGCTCTAAGATCTCGAGAGAGGAAAAAGATGTACGTAAAAGATTTAGAGATGAAAAGTAGATACTATGAAGCGGAATGCAAGAGATTAAGTTCGATGCTCCAATGTTTCATGGCAGAAAATCAAGCACTACGTTTTTCATTACATAGTAGTAAGGCATACAATGCTTCCACAACCAAGCAGGAGTCTGCTGTGCTCTTATTGGGTATGTATCACATCTATAACTTTCATCCCATATCTACCATTGAAGTGAAATTGTATTGATTTGTGATTGTTTTTTGTAGAATCCCTGCTGTTGGGTTCCCTGCTTTGGTTGGTGTGCATAGTTTGCCAGCTCGTTCTTCCCAGCCTGCACCTGCAAAAACCAGGGGCAGCTCAACTGGAAACCGTGGTAGAAGAAAAGCTACTACCAAATCTGGTTGTAAGGAAGGAGGGAAGTAAAATCTGTAGAGAGTCTCTTTCCCTTTTGGTGGGAAAAAGATTCAAATCTTCAAGGTCAAGGATGAGATCAAGCCTTTGTTCTCTAGAATTTGTAAGCAAAATCCTAGTAGTTTTTTGATTTTTCTTTTATGGTTCTTTAACAAGACATGGATAATAAAAGAAAAGAGAATGAGAGACTTTTGAGGTGTTGGGCTTAAACTTTGTGATATTCATTTGGTCATCACTTGTTGATCGTGTCTATTTTTGGTTTTTTTGAATTTTTTTTTTTTTTTTGTTGTGATGACTGATTCTATGTAACATTATGGTAATTATTATGTTTATGTCAATTCTGTAAGGTGTTAATGACATATATGGGTAACCAAGTCTATACAAACTATCGTAGGGGATGATAAAAAGTTGATTGGGTCGAAATGGTTTCAGATTTGTTGTTTGATTGGGATCAAGAGTTTTGTCCGGAAGGTTTGCAAAATACACAGATTGGGATGGGCAATGGGGCATTGATGCTGAAATAGCCAAAAACAATATTCAAAACTCATAACTTACCAACAATATCTCATTTCTTTCGAGAGCTAGAACTAATTGCTAATTTATACCTCATAAATAGTTTTTTCCCCTCTCAATAATGCAATAGAAATTAAATTGCTTCTTATTTTTTTGTACCTATAAATGTTCTTGCCAAATAAAATTATGACAAGTGTCATCATTCCATATTTTTAACTCACTTTTTTAACTAACTCATTAAGACTATATTGGGAATATATCAAATAAAATTAAATTGAATGGTGATTTGTTATAATTTTAGTGGGTAGGAATAATTATAGACATAAAAGATAGAAAGTAATTTAATTTTTCATAATGCAATTACGATGGATAATCTTTTATAACTTTTCGTATAATAAAAAGTCATTCAAATTAGTTCAAGATAAAGTAAATAACGTTAGGTGTGACTTGACGGCCATGTAAACCCTCAAGCTTTTATGAAGGGTGTCATGTCGTTTGTAAGGCGTGACTTAAGGCGTCTATTTTGTATTCAATTAATAATTTTATATATATTTCCTATTATTATTCATTATTTATATACATATATGATTTAAGGTGACATTTTGTTAAAATACGTTGTCAAATACAAGCCTTGGAGTCACGACGAACAACAAACTTTTTAGAACATTGTTTAAAACTTATATATTTTCAACTTATATAATCTACTTTTTAGTTCCTTTGATAAATATGTACAAACCAAATAAAAACCGATTCAACTCAATGTCAGCCAAATAAAACATTGATTCCATTCCATGTCAAATCATACACAAAACAATTTTCAATTTCTTTAAATTCTATTTCCTTTGACAAATTTCATCCCTTCCAAAAATATTTTGCAACGCCGGTTAAGAATATGGGGAGATAAGGTGAGCACTGCGTTTGGGAGCTTCTAGTGTTTGACAAAACGTTTCGTTTTGAACAAAAAAATTTATTTGACGCTACAAACTTTTAATATTTAGTTTAAACAAAATGATCCAAATCTAAAAGATATCACATAACGTTTAACAAAATTACAAAACATTACCAGCTATCCATTATCAGCTAGTTTTGTCAAAATAGAAGTTTTATTAAATCATGAGTTTGGGAATTTAATTCTTTGTGATATTGGAAGCTTTTTTCATTTCATTCCAATGACACTTTTCATGATATTTTATAGAAATTCAGTTCTTTCTATTTTTCCAACCAAACACAGGAACCGAATGGAATTGAAAATAGAATTCCAACAAAAGCTAATGAAATGCAGAACACCCCAAAGAGGAATTTGGACCGATCAACTACAATGATTTACATTTTTGTTATATAGGGCCAATGTAAGAAATAATAACATACTTTCATATATGTGTATTACACTATAATACTTTTCATTTATAAAATTTAATATAGAATTGTATTTGGAGTTTTTCTTCTTTTCTTATGAAGGTATTGTACCATGGAAGTTTATATATTATAGCTAGTGGCGGACCTAGAAAGAAAAACCAGAGGTTGCACAAATTTAGGTGTTGGGTAATAGGAAAAAGTCTAATTTTCGATACACAATTTTCGTTACAAAATTCTTCATTAAAGGGTTTTACCGACAAATACATTAATTTACTAGGAAAAAATCTAATTTTCGATAGCATTTGGTTTATTAAGAGTTGTGATTGGAGTGTTAATTAGAGATAATTATCATATGTGTTAGGCGTAGGCTAGATCAGTGATTCGTGTACGAGGTTTATTTGCTTGCTTGCTTACGAGGTGAGTCTTCTCACTATACTTACCTAGAGTGGTAATCTTCGTGTGACCGGAGGGTCTTATGTGCTTATATTGATTATTCTGATATCCTGCATTATGTCTTTGTGATTTATGTTGTGTATTATACTGAGCTTACTGAGTTAGGACCGGAGGGTCCCACTGAGACACATTGACCGGAAGGTCTTATTCGAGCATAGCCATGAGAGGCTAATGAGATATGTAACACCCCAATTTTTACAACCAAAATTTTCGTTTTTTTAAAGTAATAATTATAAAATCATTTACTGAAAAACAACGTCATCATCGTTCAAGTCATCATACCATAAACACATGTCTCAAATCGTAACAGAAAGTAGTAATAATGTCAGAGTACAAATCTCATGAATCTCAAAATGCGGAAATCATGTGTGTGTGATGTGCTGCTACCGTGCCGGCTCCTTCCCCTTCGTGGAAGAGGTACCTGAAACAAAACTGAAAACTGTAAGCACAAAGCTTAGTGAGTTCCCCCATCATACCACATACCACACAATAACATATCTAGCCAATCATATCTGGGCGTTGGCCTCCCCTTCGGTCTATTTCAACCGGATAGTTGCCTAGCATATCTGGGTGCTGGCCTCCCCTTTCGGTCTATTTCAACCGGATAGTTGCCTAGCATATCTGGGTGTTGGCCTCCCCTTCGGTCTATTTCAACCGGATATCGAGGACTATTTCACCCCTACCACTACCATATAAAATCATAATATACTGGCACATATAACATAACAGATAGTGGCATACCAAATAATTATCACATTGACAATTTTCTAATTACGAACTCCTACCAGTGGGCCGACATTGTGGCCTTAGATCCACTTCTAATGGAAGGTAACTCACCTCGCCAAGCTGAGTGTCGAATCTCACGGGAAGTAACCTCTAACTGTTGCTCCGATGACTCCCGGCTATCCTAATCATAATAATACTTAGTCAGCATCTAGAACGTCACTTAGGGTAAAATGACCATTTTACCCCTCGGTCCGATTGGAACATTCATAAGTCCCAATTCTAGTTTATTAAGCCCAGCCCTTCTATGGCTCATCAAGGATTCCCTAAGGGCCCACTAATAGCCTAATTTCTGAATCGGGCCTTAACCCCCAAATGGGCCCAAAAAGTTCCGAGTCCTAATATAGTAATTCCAAAGGGTCCAATCATGGTCCAAAAGGCCCAATACTCTAATTCCAGATTCTTAAGTCCAAACTTTTACTTCACAGTGGGCCACGGGGCCCAAAAGCCCAAAACATCCATTCTGCATGCGTACGCGCGGCGTACTTGGCACGTACGCCCAGCGTACGCTTGCCTTGACCACAATGGGGAGTTGACCCAGTACGCGCGACGTACTAGGAAGTACGCCCAGCGTACTGGCCAACTTCTTTGGGACTTCACTATGACTTAATCCATTAAGTCTTAACGTCCAAAATGCAGATCCAGGTCCTTTAAGACCTCTTAGACCATAAAGTCATGAACTTTATGTGCTTGCATGCATGGTTGGGGGTCAAAACATGATTTTGGTCCTTCTAACAAACTTTAAGACCCACTAACACTTGCATGGTTGTGGCTTAACCACCAAGGTCCTATTTTTATGACTCTTAGTGCCTCTAAGATCCCAAAAGGACAACTATTTTGGTCTGAAATCATTAAGATGCAAAAAGCCTCAACAATGGAGTCCAAAAGTAACTTTAACACCCCCCATAAACAAATCTAAGAATATAATGGCCAAGGTTGGAACTTGATACCTCAAATAAGTCAGAGATGGTGCTAATCTCCTGGATCTACAAGCTCTTGGTGGATCCTTGCTCCTTCTTCAAGCTCCTTTCTCTTCCAAAGCACCAACACTACACCAAAATACGCTTAAATACCTCCTAAATCACAAGAACACACAAAAGTAGGCTAGGGTTTTCGTGGAGGCTGTATAAGGGTGAAGGGAGGCTGAACAAACAGGGGTAATGTTCTATATATAGGGAGTAAACCCTAAATTTTAGGGTTTAAGCAGCTGCACACGTACGCTGGGCGTACGTGCATGGCCTCCGCGGTTCACTCTCACGAGTACGCTGGGCGTACTTGGCAATGTACGCCCCGCGTAAGATGTCACACCCCCAAACCAAGGATGGCGAAAACGTCCGGGGGTGGAGGACTTCATGTATAGTATCATAACAGCAATTGTAATAGTAATTCAAGCAAACACAACCAACATATATATAAAAAAATTTACATCATTGTATGAATTACATGTTTACGAATCAATCACAATATGTTGATAAAAAATGAAATAGTAGACGCCTTAGCGTCCCATCCTCAAAAGCACTTGATTACCTGTTTAATGATTTCCTGAGAATACAAGTTTTTGAAAAAAGTGTCAACACAAAGGTTGGTGAGTTCATAAGCTTTTCGTTTGTAAAAGTAGTATTTGTGTTAGAAAAATCCAATATTTTCCTTAATGTGTAAATGTAGTCTTAAAACCCAAAGACCGAAATGTACAAGTAATTTGTCATATTTATAGTAAAACAATGCAAGTTTAAATCGACATAAACTCGTTAAATTTTAATGAAGTCCCCGTAAATTCCAATGTTTGTTAATACTTTATGTGAGTTTATTATAACCATACTATGACCACGGTTGCCTAAAACGACGTTCTTCAGGCGTCGGAAATGTTATGACATTTGTCACCCCAGACCTATCGGTCTAACTGTTGCATGCAGTTTAGGTGTGGGTTTGTCAAAACCCAATATAGATCTATACACAAGTATCACGCTCTCCCTCAAGGAGACTCTGGTTACAATACAAGACTTAATGGTAATTTGAAGTAAATGTCTCACAAAGTCATTAACGGAATTACGTGTTATGAAAACTTGGTACCGTATGGCCGTACCTTGCTTAATGAAAATATCCTTTGTATAAATGTACCCTTTTTAAATGTATGTGTTATGTAATGTATCATAAACTATACCTATTATGGTTTATCAACCAAGGGTAGTACGTGGTAATGTATGCAAACTATATTCAAAATAGTTTATTTAATGTTTGAATGTATCGATTGTACTTTGATTATAATCACTTGTTATTCTTTATATTTTATATGACCAAATCCATTTGTAAACTGATGTGTGTCTAAATATTAAGATAAAATGTCATATATTGCAGTAACATATAGTCACATAAAGATATACACTTTGCTCAACATGTTACAAGGTGAA